GGAATAGCTGTGCCATTTTGGGGAGGGCACTGGAAGCTAAGCAGAATCCACCTCGGGGTTTCTAAAATTTCTACCAACAACCCTAATTCATTCTGATATATTCAAGCAGTAAAAAGAAAATTTGTTCTTAAACAAATCATCTGGTTCCTTAAACTAATCTGCTACATGTTTCTCCCCAACATACGTCATTATATATAATGTACCTATTTATACCGTAATTTTCTAGAATCTAGGAAAGTAGATATTCAGAGTTGAACTCTTAGCTTTAACTGTGACAACTTCTTTCCCATGTTTGATATCTAGTCGATGCTGTTGAAAGACATTAATAAATGTCACATACACATGAGTATTGCTACCTGTAAGGTAATATTTCAACCTGTAATTTGAATATTTCTTATCCCAGCTCTTTAGGGATAGTGTTATGATAGTCATCGTATGGCTTGCAGGAACTGAGGATCAGGAACCCTTCATTCCAATGTAAAAAAATGGACTGTGTGCGGGACGCCTGGGTGGCCCAGTCGGTTAAGCGTCTGACTTTGGCTCAGGTCATGATTCGTGGGTTCGAGCCTCACATCGGGTTCTGTGCTGACAGCTCAGAACCTGGAGCCTGTTTCAGATTCTGTGTCTCCCTCTGTCTCTCCCTCTCTCTCTGCCCCTCTCCCGCTTGTGCTCTGTCTCTGTCTCAAAAAAATAAACTATAAAAAATTTCTTAAAAAGCAGGATGTGTGACCACACTTCCTTTAAATCTTTAGTGGTTCTTAATCGGACACGGAGCTGGGTTTACAGTCATGGGCTATTAGAACGAGAATTTACTCTGACTCTCCTTATTTTATTGAAACAAAAAGAGGTCCAGAAAGGTAAAGTGACTTGCCTTAGGGACCACAGCTAACTTTTTCTACATCCAGGACTAGATGGTTTCCTCGCATCCCAAGTCACTCTTTCCAAATCTCAGTAGCTTTAAATTAACTTAGAATGTCAGTAACTTCTCAAGGTGTTACTATGTAGCGGCGTTTCTCAAACTCAGCCCTACTGACAGTTGGACTGGAAAATTCTTGGTAGCGAGAGGCTTCTTGTGTCTCGTAGTAGGGCTCCCAGCTTCCCGGATCTCTACCCACTAGATGCCAGTTATCACCAGCCACCCTCAACCTCTGGTTGTAACAAACAAAAATGCCTCCAGACCTTGCCCAATGTCTCTGGGCAGTGGGTTGGGAGTGGGGGTGGGGCAAAATCACCACCGGTTGAGACACCCTTATCCCCACCACTGTCTCCACCCTGCATATATACTTCTAGAATAATTCTTTCGGAGCCAGTTTGACTTAGCCGAAGAGCAACTTTCCAAGAGTCACAGCTCCAACCTGCCAGTGTGCGGCTTTTCCCAGGTGCTCCAGTCTCTCCTGCAGGTGTTACAATCCTTGCAATCTGCTTATTCCAGGCTGTCCCTGATGGCAAGTCCTTCCCCGATTTATTGCAGTCATTATTTTACTATGCATTTGAGTGCCTATTATATGCTAGATACAGGGCACTGGGGATGGAGAGATAAGTCACTGATCGTCAGGAGTTCAGGCTCCTGGAGGAGACAAAGATGTAAATGCACACCTGTCAGCCCCATGATGAGTATCAGGAAAGAGGTGTGTGCTGGGAGGTACAGAACTAGAGAATGCACCTCTTTCGCACTGAGGGTGGCCGCCGGGGGATGGGTCACAGAAGGCTAGCAAAAGGAAATGGCAGCTAAGTTGATTTTTCCAGCGAGGTCACGAATGGAGAAAGCTTGCCAGGCAGAGGGATCAGTGGCTCTCAAGAAAGGACAGAGGAACCTGGCTTCTGACTACAGCATCAACATCGGGTGAGAAATGAAGCCAGAAGGTAAGCAGGGGACAGGTCTCAAGGAGCCAATTATACCCTGTCAAGGAGTCTGCATGGCCTTGATGGTAACTGTGAGCTAGGGGAGAATGCATTACATTTGCATTTTAGAAACATCTGAAGTACAGAACACGTTCAAGACGGGGGATCCCAAGGAGAAGCGCAGGCCACCTCAAGATAAACGTTGACTGTACTGTCTAATAAAAGAACAATGTCCCCGATTTTGCTTTCACTGGCTTGTGTGGCCGTGAGAGGGATTCCCTTTCGAGGAGCGCTGCCCCAGACTGGCCAGAAGACGAAAGGCCCACGACTGTAGAGAGGTACAGTCTCTTCTGCCACCCAGGACTATGGGCAGAGGAAAGCTTTCACCACCCAGGCAAGAAGAACTTTTTCTTCTGGAATCTCAGACTTCAAAGCCAAGTTGACTTCCATGCAGAAATTCAAAATATATTTTTCCCCAGAAAGAAAAAACGATACATTTTGCTATTTTTTAAAATTAATAAACTAATTAACGAATTTTTATTTTTTAAAGTTACGTGTCCAATGCGGGCTCGAACTCCCCACCCCGAGATCAAGAGCCGCGTGCTCTACCAACTGAGCCAGCGGCCGCCCCAATTTTGGTATTTTGAAACACGTGGCTCAGCCAATTTATGGGGCAAAAGGTGTTTTGCATATGTGTATATGTGCATTGGCTGTTGAATGTATCGTTTCTCTGGGAATATGAATTACAGGTAGATTTTTGGAACACAATCCATTTGCAGGCAGTGAGCTAGCTGTGCGTGCCGTGAAGACAGAGGATGGGCATGAATGACAGCAGCAAAATGCACCCGGCAGGTTGTGATTAGAACTTTTCCATCAATAAGGGAGTCTGGGGCAATTTAAGAGCAGTGCTGCTGACCATCTACAAGGCAGCCTGAAGGAAACTCTCTAGCCGCGCAGGCCCTGCCCCCCGGGGGGTTCGGGGAGGCTGCGCAGTTCCCGTAGCTGCCCTGGGCCCTGGCACATTGCGGGTGCTCCATTCATGACTGCAAACACAACTGGATGCATTAAAATGGATCTGCACACTCACACGCCTCCTGGTTACAGGAGACTTAGGAGACAAAAATGCCGGTGCCGTGCGGTGTCCAGATGAGGTGTGCAAGAAAGGAAGAGACGGCAAGGGTTTGCCTAGAAGGACAGTGAAAGATAGTGAGCTAGTAAGTCCCTGAATTTGTTGCTCCTGGGACAGAGACCCCCTTCGTCTTAGGGACAGAAGCTAACAGGTACACGAAGTGACCTTGACGAATTCTCAATAATGTCAGGACAGGAGATCAACTTAGGTAAATCAATGTTTGTGGCGTCACCTATTGCGTATTTCAAGAGCTGATTTGCTGGCTTGTAGCTTAAACATGGTGGCCTTCTCTCTGATTCATCCATTACTCAGAAGGCCCTGGCTTCCTAGAATTCTGATCCAAACTGCAATTGTTTTCATTAGCAGTCATCAAATCTAGCTGAATCCTCTTCCAAAGTGCCCTTTTTATTTAAAAGTGTGCTTTTTGATTTCCCACTACTGATCTGGCCTATCTCTAGACTCTTCCAGATTCAACTCACCAGGGATTGCGGAGAGCAAATTTACCTTCTTAAAACAATGCTTTGATTCAGTTACGCCCCTTTGCAAAACCCTTTCACAGCCTCCCAAGTATGTGTCAAATAAAGTCCAAGTGTCCAGCCTGTCTTTACCATCCAGGACAGCCCTCACCTATAAATTCTGTCTACCTCCTCTTTTGTATACAGTAAAACCTTGGACTCAGAGTAACTTGTTTTGCAAGCGTTTGCAAGAGGAACAAACATTTCTAATACATTTTAACATAAATACAAGCGATGTCTTACAATAGGGGTACTACTGAGGCCGAATGTCACATGATCACAACTGAGCCAATGATTCCTAAAATTCGCTTTGATATACAAGTGCTTTGTTTACAAGCATGTTTCCAAAATGAATTATGCCGGCAAACCAAGGGTTTACGGTCCGAGGCAACATAGTATCCTTAGTGTCTCATGAATAGGCTGTCCTCATTTCTTTATTGCCTGCGGTTCACCCCTCTTAGCCTGAAATCCTCAACTTCTCCCTCTCCAGGTTGAAAGCACACTTCTGAGTCCCGTCTCCTTGGTGAAGTAGAAGTCTGAGTTCATGTCAGCCCATGCACCCTCCTTCAGTTCCATTCCTTGGGTAGAATCATTCTGTGCGTCTCTGGGGTCCTTGTGAGAGGGGTGGCTCTACCGTGTTGATGTAGCCATGAGCAATACATGACAAATGGATGACCCAAGGCCCTAGAAAGGTGCCTGGCCCATCCCAGGAGCTCAACAAATACTTGCTAATTTTGTTGAATAAATTCAGGATATCTGGTTTGGTTAATCTAAGATTACCACCCACCTTCTCCCGCAGACCAGGGACTTTCCTCTTCCACCAGGTGAGAAAAAGCATCTATAAACATTTTAACTTTGATAAAGTTAGCTCTGACACATAAAAGGCAGAACTTCCTCTTTAACCCTTCGAGAAATGAGAATTACCTCCTCCCAATTCGCCCGTCGGCCCCCCACCCCCTGAATTTCAGGTTCCTTGAAAGTAACCGACCTGGATCATTTCTTACTAAATAAAACTTCCACATCTTCTCTGCATTTGCAAAGGTAATCTTACCTCTAGCCAGACAAATCACCAACCAATTCTCCATGCGAGAAAAATGTTAAAAAATGGAGGTGGGGGTGTAAAACGTCTACAGGCAGGGACATTACAACAGGTGCTACCCTGCAAACACAAAACACCCAAGTGACCTTCTCAGCGAGCCAAATGCTTTTCAGCTAACCTAATGTTCTTCAACTGTTGCTTCTGGGGCTTTTCGGCAACAAAAATGCTCCCTCGCCTTGGCCCTGCCGTTTTTTGGCCCATGCCTTACTACCGACTGCGTGTCTGACTTGTTTATCTGGGCGCACCCAGTCATCTCGCTCGGCGACCCAAGCGACCACGTTTCCTTAAATCAGAGCCCCGTGGACTCTGCTCGGAACTACACTACCCAGCGGCCCCCGCGCCCTTCGCAGGAAGGACGTCTGCGCACTAAGATACTCAGTTCCAAGTTTGGAGCTTTTAGCTGCCAGCCCTGGCCCATCATGTAGCTGCAGCACAGCCTTCCCTAACGTTGCAACTGGGGGAAAAATCACTTTCCAGTCTGTTTTGCAAGGTGTGCATTTCCATCTTGATTCCCTGAAAGTCCATCTGCTGCATCGGTCAAGAGAAACTCCACTTGCATGAAGATTGCACGCCTGCAGCTTGCATCTTTGTTGCAAAACTAGCTACAGAAGAGAAGCAAGGCAAAGTCTTTTGTGCTCCCCTCCCCCATCAAAGGAAAGGGGAAAATGTCTCAGTCGAAAGGTAAGAGCCTATTTGCATTACTTGCAAAAATGCAAAGGGTTGTGCATGCATTTATGAATGCATGGATGCAATTTTCGCCTGGCGATTGCATTTTTAAGTTTGAGGTTTTCCACAGCTCAGTTGCATTTCCTGTTTAGTATGTGTCTTTTTTTTGCAGACACAGAGAGTTCCTGTAAGGCAGGGCTTGCAGTTCAGCTGTGCATTGACGTTATTTGCATTCTTCTGCTAGGATTACTGAGCTCTTTCTGCCTTTTGCACAGTCAGGAGAGATAGAGCAGGTTGGTAGCGTCTTAATGTGCAGTGCTTTATATAATTGTAAAATTCTTTAGTATGCACGCACATTATAAGTAATTTTATGTGCAACAGGAATACAAACTTTTAAAAAGTCTGTAGGTGAAGATGAAAGGTAAAAGTTGAGTTAAACTAGTAGGAAATTAATGTAATCTTATATTCCTTTGGGAGCAAACCGTTGCGGTGCCAGTCTTTACCTAAATTTCCATTGATACCGCTTTGAACATTAAACAACTTTTGATTTTTAAAGGAAGTAAAGGTGAAGTGTGAATAATAGCATGTTACCAAAAAAAAAAAAAAAAAAAAACCCAGACGAGAAGTCTTTCTCTTCTGAGATTTTGCACTGTACACCAATTGCTTGTTGGCTCACAGAATTTAGAAGCAGCCGTGAGGATATAGATGTTTTAGGTCTCCCCATTTGAGAGATGCTTTGCATCTCAGGGGAAAATATGGGGAGAAAACCTGTACTTTTAATCATTACACCAACGTGGGTGAACTGCGCCGTTTCGTTGAAAATCAATGAAATCTTTTAAGTGTGTAACTTCATCTATTTAGTCAGCTATAATAGGTCAGAAATGCAGGGTTGTGGTTGTTTAAATTTTTTTTTCTTTTTCTTATTTTTTTAATGCAGCTGTATTTTGCAGGCTTAATGTTATACTTGGGGAGGGGATTAAAAAATTCCTGACATGGCATCAGAGAGCTGAAGGCCGGGTGCTGGCAGGTGTCTCTAGGACCCTAAGTCAGTCACTTGTTTCAGAACAAATCTTTCTTCACCGTAGAGAAAGCATATGCCATATGAGAATGTGTGGAAGGAGGAGGAGAGTTAGGTGCAGGTGAGTGAGGCTACCGGGCCACCACTTGCTTGGGGAAGACCTGGTGGAATGAAAGTATCTCCTAAGCTTTCTGCCATGTTTTTGGAGTTGTTGAATCGCTTTTTAATTCTACCTGATGGAAATCCTACATCTCAGACGAAGAAGGAAATGATCTCTGTTCATAAGAGTTCGAAGTAGGGCTGTGTTTTCCTTGACCATTAGGGGGGAATGGAATCTGGAAGGCTCAGCGTGCTGAAGAACCTGGGAATTGGCATTATGAAGGGCAGATGTTCCTTAATAGAAGGAAAACCTACAATCTCCGGAGCAGAGAAATAACAGCTTAGAATGGGCACTCCATTCTTTGGTGTATTAAGGGGCTGTATCTAGTTACTTTGTATTTGGGATATACTCATTCATTCATTTCAGTTAATGTATGTATAAATGTGTATGTGTGTATGTATTCAAGTATGTGATATATATATGGATATATACATATATTGCACAGGATTTGGAGGAATACAAAAATATTTAAAATATACTTGTTTCCTTCAAGGACCTCACCATTTGGAAAGCATGCATGCAAATCATTATACTACAAGATAATTGCATAGATAGTGAAAAGAAATGGCCCAGTTGGAGTTTAGAGATGGTAGTGATCTCTCTGAGAGATAGGAAGATTTCATGAAGAAGATGGTATTATGGTGATCTTATCTCTGGACCTTAGGGTCCAAAGTAAATCAGGTTATTCATCCCTTTTTTTTTTTTTTTTTTGGCTCACTTTTAAGATATCTCTCTGTCCTAGGAGAGCAAGTTTCTGAGCTGAGAAACTAAAAGATATTAGCATGGCTTGCTTCCATTACGAGAGCACCCATTGTAGATCGGATCCTGGTGGTTTTTCGTATCAGTTTCCAGTTAGCCCACGTGGGTGGGTTTTCTTCACTGGGCCCTCTTTAGAAGGTGCATCTGGTGTGAGTGCGAGGTTCCTGTCCGAAAAGAAAGAGATCGATAGCAAGAAGTGGGTGATCATTTCAGAAGTGGTGTAGGAGCCTTGGCCTGGACTTTTAAGTGTGCAAGTGGCCTAATTCAGCCGTGGTGTTCTCCAGTGGCCAAGACATTTTTCCCAGTACCAAACTGCTTTGTAATACTATCACCCAATGGAATGGGAGACAGAAGTGAAAGGTGGACACAACCTCAGAGTATTGAAGAATTTAACAACATGTTCAATTCAAAGGACCCTTACGAACTTTCTAGATCACTATAATTCGGTTTCTCAGACCTCTAATTTAAGGCACAGCAGAGGCAAAAGAATTATAGAGTCCCTGGGAGCTGGAAGAACTGGGCTGCCTCTTTCCAGCCTTCCCAGCAGTAAGATTCCGAGAAAGAATTTCTTAAAAAGAAATTTTGTTTTCCACAGTTGTAACTTTAGGTGGTATGCTTTTCAGCTTGTTTATATTAGCTGTCTGGGGTTGAGCTGACATTTTTCAAATATTAAAGTGGTAGAATGCCTTTTGAGGAAATCTGAAATGTAAGTGAACAGGAAGGGCACCCAGAAAGTGCAGGAATTCCTGCACTTTACAGGAAGACAGGCTACAGGAAAAATGTGTCATCTACATTACCCGGGAGAGACACACTATTGTTATTAAGCCACGATGATTTGAGGGAGGAAGGGAGAGAGGGAGGTCGGGAGGTCTGGCATCTCCCAGTTCACCTGAAAATACACAGAAAAGTTTGACTCTGTTGGAAATGCCCTCCTTCTCACTTCTCCCTCTTTTCACCTTTTAACAAAGTTAGTTTACCTTAGTTTAAGACAGGAATGGGTAAATCATGTCGTGAGAAATGCATGCAGGGCGTAATTGCAGAAGCATGTAGGAGTGTGGCGGGTGCTCCCCTGGGTTCCTTTCTTCTGTAATTCATTCCACCCTGGGAAATGAAATGTGTAAATTTCTCATTCTGTGTAAATTCCTTTGTTAGATTATACCAGACAGACTGTCATGCTTAGTCTGTAATCTGAGCCAGTATGTTTTATAACCTCGTCCATCTCAGGACACAAAATCAGAATAGGTACCTTGGGTTTCCTAGGCTTGCTTTGTGTTGGTGTGACATTCTGCACTTCACAGCACCCAGTTTGTCATCTGCAGGGGCTCGGGGCGGCGGGGTTCCTGGTGGAAAATAGAACGATGGAAAAAAAGGGCTGAGATTTGTAATATTGGAACTACTTTCCATGCTTTTACTATCTGAAAGAATCTATAAGGATTGCTTTTAAACCAAAAGAAAAACGTACACAGATAATATTTGGTCATGATAGAAACATTTGGAAATAAAGAAAAGGAAAATAAGAATCACTTGTGACCGCAGTATACATTCTGGGGTATATCCCTTTGAGATTTTTTTCCTCTACTCTGTGTGTAGGTGTCTGAACAAAGCTACAATGTGCATGAAACTAATGTCTACTTAGTTACCTTTTGTTTCACTTACCATATACTGAGAAATATTTCCAAGCGAATATATTTCTATGTTCATAATATTCAGTTCTATTTTATTTCAACAGAACCTTCATGTTTATTAACTTTCAGTATTACGAAGTCGCCATGATTGTCACCTAGTTGGTACATTATTCTGTATGTTGTGGGCTCAGACTAAATTCCAGGTTCTAGATATCGGATTCTTCCCCATTGTCTTTTTCTGTTCCACCTTTAAAAAATCGCCTTCTAATTATTATAAAAATGAGATATGCTCATTGAAAGAAATTTCAAGCTAAAGAGAATGTCATAATAATAAAGTAAAGATCACTCACTCGGAGTCACACTGTCCAGGGCTAATTACTGTTAACTTTTCGGTAAGCATCACTTTGCATTTGTGCGTCCATCGATCCATACTCACACACACAGACATATGTGCTATTTTACACGCTCTATATGATACTCTGCAACTTGCTTTATACTCCTCCTTATATCTTTGATATCCTTCTGTGATTCCACACATATAGTTATACCATTCTTCTAATTGGTTGCTTATTTTAATTTGTAAGAATGTAGCTATTTAATTAATCTCCAGTTTGGACTTTCACAGAGTTCCATTTTTTTTTTTTTTGTACAGCTATAAACAAAATCTAAGGAATACTATGAACATACATCTTTGTACATTTGCCCAATTATGTCTTTAAAATGAATTCCTAGAAATGGAAATGCCAGGTCAGAGGGCATGGACATATTGCCAAATTGTCCTCCAGAGACCTAACACGAATTGTTATTCCCACCAGAGTTTGGGACTGTGCATTCTCTTCTTTAAACATCACGGTACATAATGCCAAATCAATTGCTCTCCAGAAAGGCTATGGCTCCTTTCATCCTCCAGGTATCCTAATTTGAAAAAAAAAAAATCTTTGTCAGTTTGGTAAAAGGTGTTAACACTTATGGTCAGTTGCATTTTTTAGTAAAAAAAAAAAAAAAAAGTTGAATTTTCCCCCTTTTTTGACATTTGCGTTTCATGTGTTTGAATTTTTTGTCCCTCATAAAATGTATCTTAAAATTTTAATTTGGGGATCAAATTATTTCCAGAGTTGGTCCAGAACATTCCAAAATTGCAAAGCTTAGGTAATCATGGGTTGAGAGTTGGATTCTCAACCAACTGGGGTGAGCACTGGGTGTTGTACATAAGCCATGAACCACGGGCATCTACCCCCAAAACCAAGAGCACACTGTATACACTGTATGTTAGCCACTTTGACAATGAATTACATTAAAAAATATAAAGAGAAAAAATAATTTAATATCTTAGTGAGTTCCAATTTTAATTTTAACCTAAATTTAAGTAAACATCACATATTTCATAAATTCATTTTGTTACACTTTCTATAGCTATCCAGAACTGTACGAAAATTATAAGAAAAATGTAATG